AGGGGTGAGCACAAGACCCGGTAGAGATATCTTAACAAAGTATATATGTTTTAAGCAATCTCACATAAATGAATACGATGCCATGTCATGTTCAAAAGTCAATGTTTTCCATTTCTTTCGAAATCCGTGCAATATTTCATTCAAGATTCATTATCTTCATGAAGGTCAAGATTTAAACAATGGGGTGATAAATATGACTCAAGTAATTCCCCAGGGCTAGTGTCTGCAAGTAGGCGTATCAAGCACTACCAAATCCTACCTTACCGGCTACTAACCGGAGGGCTTAGGCACCCACACTCGCGTGTTTCAGGTCTTACACCAACTGGACTTACCAAACGTATTTACCCCGAAACATTTTTAATAACAACAATTGTTTTCTCCAAACATTGAATTTATTTCCGAGTCAAGATCGTAAGTGAGCAATATTTCAAGATAATGCAAATGAATGAAATGAGAAATAATTACATATAAATATCTTCCTTGCACAATATCTCCATACTTCACATTTATTCAAATAAAGCTTCCATGGTTCAATAGTTCTCAAAATCATAGTAAGGTACAAATCCATACGACATATGGCATTTCCTCATATTCACAATCAACATCCATTTATCAATTTTCCAAACATACATATCACATATTACTATAATTGTTGAACCAAAATTATAATTCCTTTTATGAGTGCCTTAAAAACATAACAACCTAAGGAAACTTTTCTTCGATTTCTCAAGAGGTTTAACATCAATTTCATGATTATTACACCAATTTCAACTTTTCCCAAATTTCCCAAAATCTAGGGTTTGATCAAAAGAGGGTTTTTCCTTCATTTTCAAAATAACTACAAGCATGCATCCTCAAAGGGTTCATATTTCACAAAATAATTTCTTGGACCAAATCATGAGAAATAAATCATTTCTCTAACATTTTCTAGGTTCAACACCTTATAACCCAAACCCAAACTAGAAATTTGAAGTGAAATGGATAAGATATACTAAAACCATATATACAACTCAAAGAACATCCCTACCTCTAGACTTTGAGAAGAAAAGTTGAAAAGCTCCGAAATCAACGGCATTGTACATAACGTAGCCCTTGACAAGCTTTCCAAAACTAAATATGACACTAAGGTCAAAATATCAATGGATAATGAGAGATCAAGGAGTAAATGAAGTCAGTAGAGGGTTTTTTAGAGAGAGATGAGAGAAAAGAGAGTGAGAGTTAATGTAGAGAGAGGGTGTGAAGTGAAAAGTGATAAAAAAGTGTGTAAGACTCAACTTTTCAAGTGATTTGACACAATTTTCAGAGCAGACTTCGGGCAGACCGCTTGAGCGACGAAACCTACGCTCAAGCGAACAATTCAAATTTGAGAGACCTCTTTAGCAAAAAATACCCACTTCCAGAATCTCCACTTCCCTCTGTAAAAGACCGCTCGAACGAATAATGCATGCTCCCAGAAGTTCAAACTGCAAAACAAGATACTAGAAGATCGATTTCACCACTTGAGCAGTCTCAACCTGAAGGTGAGACAAAGTAACTACTAAACATTAGGCAACCTTTCCCGATTTCTCTCCCACCCCCAAAAGTAGCAGACGACATCTCAAAATATACTAAGATGTGCCTACCAGAACAATCACAAGGAAGAATGGATAACAACACAAGACTCAAAAGGTTTAATAATGATGAAGACAACACAAAGAGACAAAGATTACTAATTAATGCACTCAATTTGCTATAAAGGATTCAAGACATCACACAGCCAATCATCAAAAATAATAAATAAATAAATAAACAAACTAAAGAAGGTCCCATAATGGGGAAAATGAGAATTTATCAATTTGTCCATTTACAAGGATTGATCTATTGACAAATGTACAACGATGACCAACTAAGCTAGTCTAAATTAAGGACCTGGGGGTGTTGTTGTGCCCATTTGTGGAGGCTCGTCTTAAGACTCTTTCGATAATTTGAACTGTTCATATTGTAGGGTTCGTCGAGAATATTATCTATGCAAAAAATTAAGTTAATCGGATATTTGTAACTAGGCGTATGTGCGACGTGGTTTGAGTAGTTTGAGAGTAAAATTATAAACCGAACGGCAGATTAGTGGATTGGCGGATTGGCAAATTATGGTTTGAACTATTTTTTGCGGATTGAAAAATATTCTAACCAATTATCAAGTCTTTGCATAATATATAACTCAAATTTGCATAATATTTTTCATGTATATAACACAAACGAATTTTAGATAATATTTTTCATATATGTAACTACTAATTGATAATAAATTTTACATATTAAATTTCTCTTACACTCATTTTTTTACTTTGATATTTCATTATAGTTTAATATATATATATATGTATGTGTGTGTGTGTGTGTGTGTGTGTTAATTATAGAAGCGTAGAGCAGTTTTAAATGTAGATTATAAATTTTAAAGTTTAAACCGCGGTTAGCAGATGGAGTGGTGTGGATTGATGCGAATTGGTGTGGTTTTAGCGGATTAGGCGGTATTTTGCACAACCCTATTTATAACTTCATGATTAGTTCTTAATTGTTTTTAAAATATTATCAAAATTACGTTAATCATTAATTTTTTTAAAAAAACAAATGTTCTTTTGTTATAAGGTTGCAGATGTCCAATCAACTTAATTTTTTACATGGATGATCTACTCAACAAACCCTACAATATGAATGGTTCAGATTATCGAAAAAGGCTCGAGACGAGCCTCCACAAGGGGGTACAACAGCCTGCGATGCCTTTGAGCACAACATGATCCTTAAATCCCTAAATTAACCCACCAATTTTTGACAATTCACAAAGAAGCAATTTGGAAGTAGAATAAAGATTGGGAGCTCTAATTCTGGAGCTCTAAAGAGACCCTTAATTAGGTGGCTCTCCATCTCGACATCTACATCATCAACCTCAAGTCCACTCATCTTTCTACTCAACTCAAGTTTCATAAATTACAATGTGATCCTAAAATTCAAGTATAATTTTATAGTTAAGCTTTTAAGATTAGTATAATTTTGAAAATTTTAGTTTTTACTTGCAAGACATTGTGAGACCCTTAATCTTGGTGTTAGAGTCTAGAAATCGAATCTAGGAAAAATTTTAAGCTTGAAAATTTAATGTTTAATGCAAGATATAATAGATGTAAAAAACTTTATACATCTTGATCACGAAAATAGTAAAACTAAAACCACATGACCATTAAATAGTCTAATGGATTTGAATAAAGAAACTTCAAATATTTGCATAAATCAAAATATTATGATTACTGAAATATCTAAAGAGTTAAGAGAAATAAAAGAAATTTCTTATAAAAATCAAAAAGAAAGTTTTATTAAAAGATTTGGAACTTTTTTCATGGTTATTGAACAAACTATAAAGGATGAAAAAGATCAGGATGATGGTGGTACATCCGCATCAAAATTCCTATAAAAGGAATATCTTCAGAAGATTTTCAAAAATATTTGAATCTATATATGGATAATTATGAGAGAGAAAAAGTTCTTAAAAAACAAATAAGCGATTCTATTGATTGTGCGGAGTTAAAAGAACAACACTATTAATTAGAAAGGAAAACTAAAATATCCGAAACAAACAAAGCATTTGAAAATTTCAATTTTTGGAGAAATCTCGATTTTATGAATATCTTTGGAGATAATGAAGAAAAATCTTCTAAGAAAGAAAAAAAGTTAGGAAAAAAAGGACCATTAAAAACTCATATAAAATATGACTACTAGCGTATGCCCGTGCCTGAAGGCACGGTGCAAATAATGTTAGGATTAAAATATAATTGTAATCCCAACACTATTTAAATTTATTTTTTAATTTGATAAAATTACAAATTTATTATAAAATCTTAGAGTTCTCACAAAACTCCCCACGAAAACTCGCTTCTGCTTATATAATATATAGCTAGATAGATAGATATGCCTAGTATAATAGCGTATGCCCGTGCCTGAAGGCACGGTGCAAATAATGTTAGGATTAAAATATAATTGTAATCCCAACACTATTTAAATTTATTTTTTAATTTGATAAAATTACAAATTTATTATAAAATCTTAGAGTTCTCACAAAACTCCCCACGAAAACTCGCTTCTGCTTATATAATATATAGCTAGATAGATAGATATGCCTAGTATAAATACAATTTTCACGGACATACATACAATGTTTCTTTTGCTTATATAATTACATGGAGATTGTAGGTATGCCCATAATGTCCCATTGCAAAATATATTGAACAAAAATTACAAAATTGACCCTAAATTTGTCAAAGACAATAATATTGCTTCTATGAAATGTAAATATGACATAAGTTTGAAATCTTTCAAGATTCAATGACTCTCACGCGAGCAAAATCGATTGAAATATAAATAATGAAATATACATCAATTTCCCAAAATCATTTTTTATACATCAATGTAAATAACTCTTACAATCTTACGTAATCAAAAGAAACATTATATGTATGCCCGTGAAAATTGTATTTATATGTCACATTGATGTATTTTTGTTCAATATATTAGGGTCAATTTTGACCCTAAATTACAAACATTGCAATGTAAATATGTCACATTGTATGGAAATATGTGCAAAATATATTGAATAAAAATGAGTGTGTACTAAGTTTAATATGTGTACTAAGTTTTACCTTCTATTTTGACCTAAAAAAATTTAAAACATTGATGTTAATAACGCTAGCCAATCATACACATACGCTAGCCAACATTTTAATATGTGTACTAAGTTTTTTCTTATAACATTATGTTATTCAATCATATAATGTTATTAACAAATTTTGTACACATAATCGTATACATATTCACTAAGTTTTGGATTGAAAAACTTAGTCATTGATGTTAGGATTGAAATGATTTTTTTTTTCTTATTCATGTGTACAAAATTTGTTAATAACATTATAGGATTGCTATTATATTTCATTATAGGAAATATTTCCCATTGGTCTTTGTTAGTAACATTATCGGATTGACCAGCTCTAAGAGTTTATAAGATTTCAATATTTCACCTTCTGTGCAATGGGAAATTGATGTATTTACAATCTTACGTAATTTATTATACAAAGACCAAAGCTTGGATCTAATACTTAAAAACCTCTGACCCATATATCTCACCTTTACACCAAGTTTACCTTACAATCATAAATCTACACGGTTAAATCCCGAACCCACGTTTTTAGTTAATTGTATAAGTCTTGCCCAGCATCAATCTCTAAAAGAACATTGTATACATATGATATGACCAACATAAAGTAAAGAAGTAAAGCAAGCTGTACACACTTCAATGTGTGTGTGTGTGTGTGTGTGTTGGGGTGGGGGGATGGGACATACAATAAGAAAGAAACAGTTGTTGTATCCATTATCTACATGACATTTCTGGAGCTTTGCTATTATAATTGTATTTGTATCCTGGTTTTTTAAGGACTTGTCGTGTTATTATAGTCATGTCATGTTGTGTTGGGTCCTGCATCCATGTTTATGCTACATCTCCAAAAATATAAAACAACATGCTCCATGAGTCCCCAACCACCAAATAGGGCATAAGAAAATGATTTGTGATTCCCATGCCTCATATTTTTCTGACTAAATGAAAATAAGAATTGACCAATGTTGTGGTCTAAATGAAGGGGACATTTTTGTCATGACTCCTGGTCTTCAGATGCTCCTCCAAGGAAATTACTTTCTCATCCACCTCCTACGAAAGAATAATAAGCTTTGCTAAAACATTAATCCCCTATGACCTTCCATCTTCAACCATCATCTCTAACCCTGCAAAATTGTGCCCAATAAAGATGCTTTAAATAAAATTTAAAATAAAAAGTAAAAAACACACTCATCTAATACCTCTAATTCCCAGTTTTGCACTGCCCTGATGATCATAACTCCCACACCACTTCCAAATTAGAGAAATCAGAAACAGAAACATCTTATTCACCGTGATAATAAATAGATCCAAGAAGCCTCCAACAATTGAACGTCCCCGCATCACACATCATATTCCAAAATCTATCTCTCCGAGATTTCCAACTACCTTTCGATCACAAATCCCACACTAAGAAAATCTTACCTACCATTCCAAATTCCTTTCAATAAACCCACCCGTAAGTGTCTTCTAATGCGAGTAATAATTAGGAAAAAGGTCTCCCTATCTCTATCAAAATTATGGAAGAACTTTAATGTCTCCCTATCTCTACTACCACTCCCAACCAGGTGATCTCTACCCTTAGTCTTCTCTTGTTCAACTTTCTCCTATACAACATTTTTTCACCCTCCCTGTTAGAATTCTTCTTCTCTTTCCACTTTCCCTTTCCCCTTTTCCATTCAGTCTTCCTTTCTCGTTTGTCTTTTTTACTTCAAAGAACCCCAGAACTTTGGGAAAAAAATATCACCAAGAATGTTCAATATCACCAATTATTTTCAAACATTAAATAGCATCCCCCAACCATTGGGGAAAAAATTATCATCAACATTGATTGATTGAAATTATATTAGAATATTCTACAGGAAAAGAGGCCAGAGAAGAATTAAAAAAAAAACCCTAAAACTTTGGAAGAGAGAGATGAATATGGACAGAAATAAGATCATCAGATGTGAATAGAAAAGGGATTTTTACCTTGCGATCAGAAAATACCGAAGAAGAAAAGGCCTGGAAAATAGTTCAATTGGGGAAAAAATTATCATCAACATTGATTGATTGAAATTACATCAAAATATTCCACAGAAAGAGAGGCCAGAGAAGAATTAAAAAAAAAAAACCCTAAAACTTTAGAAGAGAGAGATGAATATGGACAGAAAATAGATCATCAGATGTGAATAGAAAAGGGATTTTTACTTTGTGATCAGAAAATACCGAAGAAGAAGAGGCCTGGAAAATAGTTCAGTTTACAATTGAAATCAATTGAAATCAGAAAATCAAAATTGGAATTGAAAATCTATACATACCTGAGCGGTTGAGAAGCAGAGGAAGTCGGAAACTCCAAGGCGAAGCTGTGGTTGAAGGAGATCAATTCAAAGTAAAGTGAAGTAAAGCAATTTTGGGAAGAAGAAGAACAGGGAGCGAAAGAGAGAGATAAAGAGGGATAGAGGGGAGACGTGGGTAAATATACACATACCTGAGCTTTAGGATGTCCCCCTTCCTGTGCCCAAACTGCTGGAGATGAAACCGAATCTGTGGTTGAAGGATAGCAGTTTCAGGAAGAAGAAGAACAGAGAGAGAGAGAGAGAGAGAGATAGAGAGGGATGGAGGGGAGACGTGATTTGGCTGGAGATCAGAGAGATAAAGATAGAAGGGTGGGGTAGACGTGGGTAAGCAGGAGGCGGGAAGATAGAGGGATGGAGGAGAGACGTGATTTGGCTGGAGAGCAGAGAACGGTAGGGGAGACGTGGGTAAGGAGGAGGCTTAATGTTTGGGCGGGAAGATATATATTTAGGATTGATATAAATTTAAGGGGTTATCTGAGCTATCCATGTAAATATACAAATGAATCATGACCCTTAAAATGTCCTAGTAGGACAAATGTCTCTAGGATAAATTCAAAATCCGTCCTGTTTTATTAAATAGATTCTTAAAATTGCAAAAAATGAGTCTATTACTAAATATGAAATATAATTTGATCTCGACTCTGTAACCAACATAGAAGAGGTTATAGATAATTGGGTTCAAGCAATAAGAATTGTTGTAGCGGGACAAGCTATAGACGCCAGTGGACTAAATGTTTTTGTAAAAGCTACTCTAAAAGGTCAAGCTGCAAAATTTTGGGATACTCTATCAAATAATGATAACATAAGAGCTCAGTGGTTAGCTTTAACTATTTCTGAAGAGAATATCATGTTTCTGGTAAATAACCTTAAACGAGAATTTTGTGAAACAACACCCTTGGTCAATTGGGAATTCATGAAAAAATAGCATTTACAAATCTAACTAAGATACAAATTTGTGATATGTGCTATTTTGAAATTACACTTGTGAATACAAAATATGGTTTTATAAACTAGACCTAAAAGATACTATTCGTTGGCAAAAACAATTTATAGCCAAACTTCCTAAACCATAAGATGAACTATCTCAAAAAGAATTTGAAAGGCTACGAGAAGTTATAAAGAAATATTGTGCAAAACGACAAGCTACAAAATAAATGGAAAAGGCATGTATGGATTATAACTACTGTTTAAAAACAAAAGGTATAGTAGGAAGCTATGGTTGTGATAAGAAATCCAAACCATTGGTTAAAAAGAAGAAATTTGTGAAAAAATGGACAAAATTTCAGAAAAGAAAATTTAATCCTTATAAAGAAAAACCAAAACCTTGGGGTAAATATATTAGAAAGAATAAAATGATCCTTCCTAAGAAAGAAGAAAGTGAATCATTTGAAATTGAAGAACTAGAATTTTCCGTAAACGATTGAAAAATGTCAAAAATTCCAATTGGGGAAATTTATAAAAACTCAATCTTCAAATCTTGAAATAAACTAAATGTAGAAATATTTGAAGGAAGAACTTTAGTTAGTAATACAAAAGAAACATTTGTACATATACCATCGTTTGATATGAATAAAATCAAACAACATCATAATCAAAAATACAATTACATTCATTTAGGACTTATACAAGTTAGTATATGTCCTTTATTTTCAGGCAAATAAGACATTATTGTGTTAACATGTGTCATGGATAATAGATGGAAAAACCTTGAAAATTCCATAATTGGAGGAATTCAAATTAATTTGTATAATAGCCCAATTTCGCTCACTATCAACTCAAATTATTTATTGGCATTAGAAGATCTTAATCTAAATCTAGCATTAGGATTAAAAATAAAAACTCAAGGTATGCAAGACCTTGATGCAAGAAGCAAAAGCATTGCTATTAATTAAAAACTTATGTATAGAGTGGTTACTATAGTTAATCTTCTTGGTAAACCTAGGAGAAATTTACAACGTGCACTCTTTTAAATGGTGTACATTGTAAAAAAGTTATGATTTTTTATAATGAATATTATGATTGTCTGTAATGTATATTATGACATTTTGTAGTAAAGTTATAAATAGTGAATTTATGATGCGCACCTTAAAGTTAAGAATGATAATGTTATGACATTTTGTGATTTTTGTTATGACACTTTGAAATTTTGTTATGACGTTTTTCAATAGAAAAAAATTTATGATTTTTATAGTGAAAAAGTTATGACACTTTGGGTTTAAGTTATTAAATTTTGTGAAAAAGTTATGAAAGGCATACCATATGCACCTTTTTGAGGATGCACATTGTAACATCCCCCGTAAACCTATACCTGGAGTAGAACTGTTTGAAAAAAGAAATGCCCACCTTCGAAAAATTTCAATCAAAAAAGTTAATGTAAAACAATTATCATGACCTAAGACATGGGTTCTTGGAGAAACTCCAGATCAAAAAAATCTCAAAAATTTAATAACTGAAAAAACAAAGGTGTTTTTTTTTTTTTTTTTTTTTTTTTTTTTTTTGTTTTTTTTTTTTATCTAGATGAACCTAGACGAAAATCAATTCTTTTTACTAGATCCAACTCTACAAGTAGCCTAGAAAGAACAAAAAACAAAGATAAGGCTATCATTGACGAATCTAGTGTATAAGAATCTCGTGTACAAGAAAGTTCAGATGAAGAGATAAGAGGATACAAAACAATAAGTATCCATATTATCAATAGGTCTTCATAAAAAATATCGATAGAAGGCCACCAAAACCTAAAAATGGTTTCTCTTGATAATCGCTCCATGACTTTAAATACTAAATTAATAGAACAAGGATTATTCGGAGAGGAACTCTGAAAAGGACTAGAAGAAATTATCCAAACAAATAAATGAACATATGAGTAAAACATCTCATGAAAATTTTGGAAAAACTGTTGAAGTTAGCCCTACAAATTCATATGTTAAATTATTGTTTAACTTTTCAGGCTATCATTCGTACACTATTGATGCATTAGTTGACATTGGTACTTCATATAGTTTGGCAAAACCTGGAGTATTTGTGATGCTCCAAAAATCAGGAACATCATAGAATATATTAACAAATAAATACAGGATTTTTCTAAGTTAGAAGTATGACGCCCCAAAATCTGCTCTAAGGTTGAAGTCTAAGAAATGTCACTAATGAGTCTTTCGGTTAATAATGAAGTAAGATCCCAGGAAAGATCAAACGGGTCAAAATAGTCTCTCTATTAAGTCCAATCTCCTTAGATAGCAAAACTACATTTTTTTATGAATCTAAACAATGTATTAACACAAAGTGTACATAAGTTGATGGAAAAATGATACATTACAAAAGATATAAGTAAAATAATAATTACAAGATCATGCCTTAATTACAACAAACAAGATTACAAAAAGGGATTTAACAAAACTAATCATTGATTCTTTTAGAATAACCTACATCTTCAAATGCTTCAGCTCCTCCTTCGACCGGTTAATAGTTTTCAATACCTGGCATGAAACACCATAAGCTTAGCATGCCCAGTAAACGCACACACACGCACACCCCATTCATTTTTCTCAATCCAATATACAATTACAATTATAACAAGTAATGAAGCATGATGTTTAAGTAAACAAGCGAGAGTTATAAAGTTAGTTGTTAGTAATCTAGAAATCACCCAAAGAGATTTCATCCTCTCAATTGTAAGAATTGAACACAGATTATTCGGTATGCCCCCTCTTTTGTTGCTTTGCAGACCCGACCCCGAATGCCTATAACGGTTACGCACCACGTGGCGCCAACTGAAGATCTCAAAAGAGATGGTAAAATAAGGGCCTTATCCATAACATTCTCCAACCTTATCACACTGAAACCACCTAGGATCCGAATACAACCAATCCATTCAAGGGTTCTAAAATAACCACTTGCGCAAGACTTTACTTTCAATAGGGAACATGTCCTTCCAACCAATTCAAATGTAACACAAGCATTACCTTATGAAGTTAATTAAGTGATTGAAAACCAATTACCATCCCAATAAAGTTTCCCGTTGAGTTAGATGTTTTAAGTTAAGGTTAAAACAATCTATTGAGACAAAAAATATCTATTGAGACATAAACAATTCTACACAAGTATGAGCATCATCAAAGCACCATTGTAAAGAACTATATTTACAACATATGTAAATGTCATACTAAGGCTCAAACAAGTGATAAAAAGTACGTTCAAGAAATAAGACCATGAATCATTAAAAAATAAATAAATTTACAGATTCAATGTACTTTAAAGATCACAATCTAAGAGACATTTTTAGATTTTTCCCGAAATTAGCCTTCGTAAGGTTTGTAGATAATTTTATCTAGTTTCAACATCATTTTTCAGAAATGGGATAGGTTTCCTAGATTCTTAGTTATTAAAGAAATACTCTAGCGCTGTCCAGATTTGTCAGCTATTATGAAAATCGGATTTTCTCTCAAACCACTCACTCTCTTTTACCAAAAAAAAATTTACTTGAAACTTAAAATTTAAAGGAAGGTTTTGATTAAAAAATGAGGTCCAGGGAATTTTTCTACAATTTTCTAGAATCTTTGAAAGTAGGCTAAAAATACTAGTTATTGATGCACCAACCTTGAAATAAAAAGAATCGCAAGGAAAGGGGGTAACCACGGGTAATTTTTTAATAATATTATGATGAAAATATGCTAAATACAATACTAATAACTCATATTTTTTGTTTGAAGGTGTGCATTTGAAAATAATGTAACATATAGGTAGAAATAGGGGCCCTTGTTCTAACAAGGAGATAATCCAAGCAATGAAGAAATCAAAGCTCAACTTCTTTTATTCAAACACAAGAACAAAATTCATACACATTTGACAATAATATTTTAAGCATCTAACATCATGTATGTGGGGAAAAAAAAGGAAGAAGAAGAAGAATAAGTTGTTTTGTGAGAACTTGCTTACTTTTTCTTTCGCCTCCTCCCAAAACTCACACTCTCTCTCCTCTCTCTCTCCCTCTTGTTGAATTTGTGTGTGTATGAGTTTGAGTGTGCAAAAGTGTTAGGGAAATGGTTTTATTTATAGGAAAATTATGGTGAAAAGTCTAAAGTACCCTTTGTTGTAATGGAATGGAATGGCTTCGGATTTAGTTGGAATGTAATGAAATGAAAGGTGATTAGGAGGGTTAAGTGTGGTTTAATTAGGTTTAAATCCTTGCTTGGTTGGTTTAGAACTAGATTGACATATAGCGATCCAGGCTTAGACTTGACCCATTTATTACCTTTGAATCTGGGAACCACATCTGTAGCGATCGTCCTTCCCATTTCTCTTATTGGATTTTGGCTTGAGGGTCGACACCATCCTTGGTGGTGTTGACACTGCCTTCTTTTCTTTGTCTTGTTTTGCTCCTAGTCAACACCGATACCACCTCCTTGTTGTTCTCTTAGAGTGGTTACTAAAATTTGGGGTCGACACTAGCCTTGGTGGTGTTGACACTTGTTCTATTATTTGCCACTGAGTCGACACCAGGCTAGGTGGTGTCGACACTGTCTTGCTGCTCAATCTTGGAAATCACTACTGAAA